ATTTTTTTTTTAACTGCTACTGTTTTAAAACTGCAGATGTAGCTGATTTAGCATTTATTAAAAAAAAAACTGGCATCTATAGAAAGTAAAAAAACATTTTGCCTAATGGTGTCCAAGATATCTCCGATTTTGCCATTTCATTGGTTATTGCTGCTGTTTTGGTTCACACTCACCATAATTTTTAGTGATGTTACAGGGCAAAGTTTTTTTAAATAAATGCCCAGCATGATCTGAAGCACAAGTTGGGAAGGAAATTGCACAAATTGTTGTTTTTTTCCTCTATCTTGCACTAAATAGAAAAAAGCAGGAGAAAACACCCTGAAGGCCTGAGAACGAAGATTTGAGACAAAAGCAGGAGACTCCTGCTAAAAGCAGGAGAGTTGGCAGGTCTGTTTTTGATTTAAAAAAAAAATTAATTAATGTTTTTTGTTTTTTTTTAAAAAAAAGAACTGTAAAACATTTTTAAAGTGCAAAATTCACAAAAGGGTAAAGTATTAATGCAATATATTAAAACTTAAATTACCTCTATCACTTCGAATGGCCCGTGACCTATGCTCCGATGCAGATTTTTCATTTTCAGAAGATGTACGAGAACGCAGAATATGAGATGGTTTTTCAGAAGCATCATTGGCTATATTTAAAGGAAAAAATTTTAAACATTTTCATGATTACATAAAAAGTTTCAATTTAAAATTCAATACTAAGCGGAGTGAGTTAGATACAGTAGAAATGGTTCTAGCCTATTCCAGGTAAGTTAATCAGGTCTTAAAAACTGTATAAAAATATAATTATGATAGATGGAAAACACTAAAGAACAATTTATCCTTGTCAATCCAAACTTCAAAATCCAGATTTCCCGATTTAAAAAAAAAATTCAATTTAATGTTTTTTTTTTATATATATATAAAGAACTGCAAAACATTTTTAAAGTGCAAAACTCACAAAGGAGTAAAGTATTAATCCAATATATGAAAACTTAAATTACCTCTATCACTTCGACTGGCCCTTGACTCTGATGCAGATTTTTCATTTTCAGAAGATGTGCGAGATCGCAGAATATGAGATGGTTTTTCAGAAGCATCATTGGCTATATTTAGAGGAAAAAATTTTAAACATTTTCATGATTACATAAAAAGTTTCAATTTAAAATTCAATACTAAGCGGAGTTAGTTAGATACAGTAGAAATGGCTCTAGCCTATTCTATGTAAGTTAATCAGGTCTTAAAAACTATGTAAAAATATAATTATGGTAGATGGAAAACACTAAAAGAACCATTTATCCTTGTCAATCCAAACTTCAAAATCCTGATTTTTTGATTTAAAAAAAAATTCTATTTAATGTTTTTTTTATATATAAAAAGACCTGTAAAACATTTTTGAAGTGCAAAACCCACAAAGGAGTAAAGTATTAATCCAATATATGAAAACTTAAATTACCTCTATCACTTCGACTGGCCCTTGACACTGATGCAGATTTTTCATTTTCAGAAGATGCACGAGAACGCAGAATATGACATGGTTTTTCAGAAGCATCATTGCCTATATTTAAAGGAAAAAATTTAAACATTTTCATGATTACATTAAAAGTTTCCATTTGAAATTCAATACTAAGCTGAGTTAGTTAGATACAGTATAGATAGTTCTAGGTAAGTTAACCAGGTCTTAAAACTGTGTGAAAATATAATTTTAATAGATGGAAAACACTAAAAGAACACTTTATCCTTGTGAATTCAAACTTTAAAATCCTGAATTTTCTCTTTTAAAAAAAATTTACCAAATTTTATGTTTTTTTATTTTTATAACAGGAAAAATAAACTTGTTTTGACAGATTTCCACTCCCTTTTGAGATTGGTACATTATTCCATTAATTTGAAAATAAGTTTGTAATATGTAGGAGATTTTAAAACATTTTCTCAAAACTCATCTTTTGAGCTTTGCCTAGATAAGTATTAGATAATTTTTTACCACTGCAACTGAAAATAAATTTCATCAAAATGAACAAATTAAAAGGAAAAAGAAAGGAAACGTCAGAAATGTATTGAATTTAGGATTGACATAAGATAATTAAAGCTATGCCACAATTAAAAAATGCAATTGAACTCATAAACATACAACTGACTGTACTGGATTGCATGTTCAATTGTAATTAAGATCGTTTAATGCTTTAAAATTAATAGTTAGATATTCTTTCCTACTTTTTGTACCACAAATGATAAATATAACATATTGTATACATGTATTGAATATACAGATATGTTAATTGTAAGTACTTAATAGTATTTTTAAAATGTTAAACATTTGTTAGGTCTACTGAAATTTTAAAAATATTCTAGTTTCTGATGCTGTAATTTATTTTGTCTGAATTCATAATTAAGATGCTTACCTTGATTTTCCAGTAAAATATTTAAAAATTTCAGAATATTGTGAGTCCTTAGACTAATACCAAAACAAATTATTCTTATAATACTACTATCTATTTTGCTATGAATTATATTTATTAATAGAAATACATACTTTTTAGCTCTTCTAAACAAACATTTTTCAGAAAGGTGATAATAATTAATATCCAATGTACATTTTCAATGTTTGCTGGAATTATTATAAAGTCCTGTGAAAAGATATCAATGTTTTTTGTCCATGGACGCCTAAAAGTAGTAAGACAAATAAGATAATTTATTATTGAAATTATGAAAATATTTATAAAAAAATTTACTGTTATTTACTACTTGAAAGTAAAAAGATTTCTATAGTTTATATATAAATAATCTTACTTTTAAGTTAACTTTCCAAATTAGTATGCATGAAAGAGAATGAGACATTAACTCCTTCAGAACCAGCAAAATGAGAAAGCGCTTCCCCAATCTGGTATACTCCAAGAGTATAGGTACTAAGGAGTAACCATACATACTAATACGGCTTGTAATATGAAAGTATCGTTATAAAATCATACGTGCACAACCACTACCGGTATAAGAAAGGCTCCGTTGCTATTTGAAACTGAGCCGTTAAGGGACAATTATGCATTTGTGATCACATTGCTGAAGGAACTAAGTGAAAGAAAAAAACTTTATTATTTCTGTTTGTTTGTCAAAAATATTTATAAAAAATCAAAAATAGTGTTTATTCTTGTAAATAATCTTACCTTATAGTGTTTTTGTTATTACAAAGTTTTTGTTTTATAACCGGGATTAAACAGCTGACCTAATTCTGAGTTTACAATTATAACGTTCAACTCCGTAGCCTAGTAATTTAGAACTCAACCCAGAAGACAAGGAAATTCCTGAATCAAGCATTGAGAGAAACTAATTTTCTTGATGGAACTAACCGGCATTTGCGTTACATGGAGAGAGAAACCATCCAAACCTCCCACACTAAGCCCGGCATCATGGGGACTTTGACCCATAATCCATCTATCACTGGGAATATTTTACATCAGCACTGTGATTGGAGTAAGAGGTCTGCAGAATTCATATCAACCAGCCATAGCTGGGATTGAGCCACAATGGCTCTAAGTTTATAGTTTGTAAAAATAGTAGAAGGGCAGAGTATGCAACTAAAAAATGATAATTTCTTGAGAAATTTCAAGCTTTTTTTTTGCCCACGAATATAATTATGAGAAAAAAAAGAGCTATATACAATAGATTGAATAATTTTTATTAAAGATTTGATATAAAATTATATATTTCATTTTATGCAATTTACCTGTCACTAGGCTTTGCTGCTGCTGCCGCCGCTTTACTTCTTGTAACAGATTGTACCAGAGCTTCATCATTTTTTTCCTTTCTTGATAGAAGTGAATAGAAATCAGTAGAGAACAAATGAGTTTTTTCTTGATAGTTTGATTTCATAATTATATATCTAAAAACAGATAAGTATCCATAATTTAAGCAGCGAAAAAAACAATATTGAAGAAAATAAAACTAATGGGAAAAATTAATTTTTTGATAATGATCTAGAACTCTATGATCGACAATATCTAATGATTGATAATTGGATTATGTATTCAGAGAGAGTTCTTAAATTTTGATTCCTAAGGGTTATTTCTTAATTCATTAACTTATGAATCCTTAAAAAAAATTTCTCATTAAAATATGAATTGTCATTAATGGTATGTTTTGCTGAAAATACTCACAAGAAGTCAAAAAAAATATGCATCAGATACATTTTGCATATAAATTACATTTTTATAAAAATAAAATACAGATAAAATGTCATTAACTGTTCCATGTCCCCCTCATACACATTACTGAATTTTTTTTATGTATTTCACTATATTATAAAAGTGTTACAAGAGATAAATGCATGCATATTCTGAATGTCTACTTGAATTTGTATAGTCATTATTCTTAGAATAGTTTGTATTTTTTGTTCTTTACACAATTTTGTATGTGACCCCAACTTTTGAGTAATTATTGTCCTAAGTATGAAAAAAGTCAATGTATTGGCACTATAGATGACTCTAGTTGAATAGACTATAACTCCCATGTTAAAAAAGGATACTCTTTTCTAGAGAACAGTAGAGTTTGATTGCAGTAACAATTCTTTAAAGGTCAATAAGTTTAATTGCACCTTAAAAAATCTGTGGGTGACTTTATTGAATGTAATTATTGCTTCAAAATTTTTTTTCTACAAAATTGCTAGCAAATAAAAGAATTTTGGTTTGTACAAAATATAAAAAATTACTTTTATTGAGTATAGACAGTTTAGTAAAAAAATTAAATAGTTTTTCATCTGTTTGGCAAAAATTATAGTTTTGCAATTTCTGGGCCTACTTGAAATGTACATAAAGAGAACACTAAGGGTCTATAACTCAATTTTTGAAAAATTATTTAAGAAATGAAATAGTTTTTGATCTGTTGGACAAAAATTACTGTTTTGTAATTACTGTGCCTACTTAAAATATATATTTAAAGAGAACAGTAATTACCTAAGGTTCTATAATTACTTCACTATTTAAAAAACTTTAAATGTATTTCATTTATTTAGTTGTGTTATTACATATTTAGTTTCTTTTTTGTCAGAATTTAAACTATAATAATAAAAAAAAACATTATTATTTGACCATAAGAACATCTTAAGTAACATAGTAATAATACAAAAGTTTGAAACTTAAGTAACATAATAATAATACAAAATTTTGAAACTTAAGAGCAAATTTTTGACTTATTAATATATTTGAGATTAAGTAGATACAGATGTCATGTTTTATGCCCAGAGTTCATAAAATTTCTTATGGTTTTTGTCTCTAACTTTGCTATAACCTCTCACTGAAATTCTCTTGTTTTGACATTTTTTGACATGATACTGTCACCTAATGTATTATTTTTTAATTCCTTTCAATCACTACAATCACTAATATTTTTGTTTAAATTATTCAAAGAATAAAATTAGTAGATATCACCAATATTGTGCCTAAGAAATATTCTAACCACAATATTAAATTAAAAACTATATCTAACTTACTGAAGGTAAAAATCAATAATGTTTCCTCTTAACCAGCGAGTAGGAGATAAAGAAGCTAAATCTCTATCATTTAGCTCAAAAGACCTTTGTTTGTCAAGCCAGACTTTAAAAGTAAAACTGAAATAAATAAATAGTCGTTCAGTTAATGCTAAGTTTCAACAAATAGAAAAAATAATATTTATTTTTGTTGCTCTTCTGACTTTTGAAATCTTCATACACACAAATATACATTTTTATTTTATTATTTCAGAAAATTTTGATCTAAAAAGTGCACATAAAAAATTGAAATAAGTAAAATATTTTTTTTTCTAATCTAATTTTATAAAATAAATGACAAAAGATAGGTAAGATGAATCCTTATTCTACAATACCCTTACTGTAGATTTTTATTGTTCTTTTTATTCTTTTATAAAAAGAAATAAAAAATTATTATTAATAATGTTTGATTCCACAGGGTGCGTAGTCAAATCTTTCAACAAAATATAAGCACCTTTTAAGTACTTTTTAAGCACTCAAAAAAAAATTTTCAAGCACTGTATTAAACTACTAAAAATATTTGCACTACTAATAATATTTTGAAATCGAAAATATCTTGCAAAATGCAGCAGAGTTGCACATGAGAGTGCAACAATCTCACCGAACCCAGCTCACTATACGCACATGCGGACTCGCAAGTATTTCCTCAAACCTGTACAATTATTGGCGCTTTCATACGCTTTGGACCGACCATAGGCTGAAATAGATCGTAGTTGAATGAATTGTGAAAACGTTGAATAAAACAATGTGAAAAGCACGCTTTAGCACAAAACGTGGCAAAAATTGACATGGTTAAAAAAAAAAGCTCATTTTTGAAAAGGGAAAATTAAGCACTTTTTAAAAACACCCCATGAAAAAAGCACCTTTAAGGGCTTTTAAAAAACGAAAATCGAAAATAAGCACCTTTAAGGGCTTTTAAAAAACGAAAATCAAAAATAAGCAACTTTAAGCATTTTTTATAATACAATAATGCAATTTATAACAATGATTTTAATATTTAATAATGTATCATTGGCTTATACTGAAAATTTAATACATTTATCAGTTTTCAGTACCTAGAAAATTTGCCTCAACATGTAATGTGAAAAATTTGTTTTACTTTTACAATTAAGAATTTAAAAAATGAGAATAGTTAGATTTTAGAAACTTCAGTTTGAGTAACATAATACCAGCAATTTATTTGAAGATTTAAAAGGGAACTGCATATAACAGTATACTGTTATATGCATGTTATATAACAGTATACTGTTAAAGTCACTAGCTACTACATATAGATTTATTACTTCTCAATTTTAAAAAAAAGTAGAGCTCAACTTTACAACCTTTTCAGATACAAAGATAATTATATAATAATCAATAAATGTAGATGTTACAAACCCTTTCAATGAAACTTGACACTTTTTTGTCAATACTACCTGCAAAAAAAGAAGATATCAACTTACTAAAGATTTTATAAAAACACAACTAAGCAAATGAAACAATATACTCCAGTTAAAAAGATTAAAGTTTTAAAATACAGTAACATAAATTTGCAATACTTTAATTTTTGTACTAAAGAGAGAGAATATAGAGTGAATTCAACAAAAAACCCTTTTTTGAACATTTCTCATACACATTGTTTTTTTACTGTCCCTTTTTTCTTGTACACAAAGATAGATAAATGGTTACATAAAAAATTGCAATTCTCAACCTTGAAGTTATATTTCAGAATTAAGAACAATATTTTTCCGTTTCTTTCTTCTTTTAAAAAGTTTTCTTCTTTTCAGCATTTTTTAAAGAGCGTTTCTAATTAACAATATTCTTTTATGGTCACTATTTTTCGAAAAATATAGCTATGAGAAAAAGACAAATTGAGAATTTATACATATTTAAATCCTCCATTTTCGTTTTAGTTTCTATCTAGCTTTTTTTCAAAAAAAACTTATGTAGACGTTTTTATTATGATGCAGCAGCTAAGAAGATATACATTGGACTTTAATCATCACTTTTTCTTGAAAATACGGTAATTGGAAAACTTAAATGTTAAGCTTTAAAACTTTTTTTCAAAAATTAAAATCAGCTTATATTTTTTCTGCTTTGCTTTTGTATATAATCTTTTTTATAGGCGTTTTTATCTTTTTTAATGTTTCATGGAAAAATTTTTACTGAGGAAAATATTATTTTTAGTATTAAATTTTCGTTTTAAGAATTAAGAGGATTTTTTTTCCTATTTCTTTTTTTTCCCAAATTTATAACGCATTTTTTTAAATAGCTGTTAGTCAGTTTTTTTTTATACCCCATACATATAACTAAGTATTTATTATTTTTCAATTATGACTAAATTTATTTATATATAAAAAAAACTATTTATTAATGATTTTTTTTTAAAAAACTCGCTATATGGCAGCCAAATATTCGGTGTTCGGCCAGATCACTGTTCATTACACCTCTAGTTCATCAATAATTTTCTTCCATGACTTTATTATGGTGAATTCACTCCATGCTTCAGCGATCCAGCAGATAACTTGGAACGGTGAGACTAACAGTGAGAATTTCTCACCCTTTCTCAAAGAAATGTGTTCTGAAAGGGGTTCCGTGGTTGTGTTCTGTTGTTCGAAAAGGTTCTGAACAATACTGTTAAATAGGGATGCTAGATAATGAGGCAGATGTTGAAAATAATGAAAGATCCAGGAAGAAAAGTGAAACAGATTTTATTCTAAATGGCGTAATTCGAAGTTCTTTCGAAAATGCGAGAAATTCTCCAATTTTGAAATTGATTTATAGAATGCGCGAATTTCTCGCGGTCATCATTTTTTAATGCGAGAAAAGAAAAAAATATGCGAGATTCTCGCGTTATATTGAAAACACTGGAGTATTATTTACACTGAAAAACAACCAATTTTAAACATTATTTTGTATTAAAACAATTCAACAGCTCGTTTTCAAAAATATAAATTTTTTCAAATGCTTTAAACTTGGGAATGTTTACATGCAAGAAGAAAAGCAAAATTAAGCAATTCACATAAATAAAAATTAAAAATATTTCCTACTTCCCACGGTGGTGACTGCTTTTCCGGAGAGGATTGTTTCTGCTTACCCACTGAAAAATAAAAAATAAATTGTAAAATAATAACACAAATACTACTAAAATGAAGAATAAATAGTATACAGGTTACAAAAGTTATTTAAGAGACATTATTCATTTTAAAACTATCCTTATCCATTTTTTTAAAAAGCATTATTCATAGGCAAAAACCAGTATGTTTTATGATGGCAATGAATAACTTGCAGGGTAAGCAGAAACTTTGTTACTAAAGGCCTGAAAGAAGCCGGCTTCAAATAACTTTGAGTGCCATTAAACAAAGATCTGTGCTTGCAATTCAACAGTAGCATGGCTATCAAGACAAATTTGAAGGGTTACCCTCCAAAAAAGCATATTCTTGTTAGCATTACAGTAAATAAACATAGAGAAAATTGTTTTCCTGTTAGGAAATATCTAGAACATATTTGCCCTTATGTGCAATGATAAATTTGGGTGAATGGCAGTTAATGAGATTTTTTTCTATGTGACCAGTAGTTTAAGAATCTTTACTCCAGAGTAAAAGAATAATAGCATTACTTAATCAATAAGCAAGACAGATCTAACTATACAAAAGTTAAAAATACACTGAATAGTACATTAATTTAATATCATCAGAAAAGTTAATAAAGCATTTATAAAGTATTGTATATTTGTAGAAACAATATATCAACATGTTAAAAATTATTGCTTATAGTAACAATGATTTGCAATACAGTATTGAAATCAAATATTATATACAAGCTTCTGCATTTTTTTTGAAGAAAAAAAAAACTGCAGTAAGTTTTATTAGTAATTTATAAATACAGAATACATTAGTATAGTATGCATACTTCTGTTTTTCAATGATTGATAGCTTCAAATATTTAAAATTAATTTTAAAAATATTTATTCATATTCGATTTGTAAACATAACACAAGTTCATTGTTTATATTATTACTAATTGAAGGACAATGTTTTTCCAAAAAAGTTTGCAAATTTTATTTAGACTAGTCAATTATGTTTAATATTAATATTACATATAGCCGTGATCACATAGTGGTTAAACCACACGGCTGTTATTGTGTAGAACTGTGGTTCAATCCCTGGTGGTAGCTCGAGGTCCAATCAGCTTCAGAAAAGTAAAAGCAATCAAGAAGCAATGATGCCACACTGTCAAAATTTCATGCCGTTGGGCATGAAATTTTGGGGCATAAACTTCAATGATTCCTACACCCACAAAGAGCTATTGTGAGAATGTTTTACTTTACTATAATTACACAGTTACATTTTAATGAGGCATATCTTTTAATTTAAAATCTGCTGCATAGTTTAAACACTGGGTAGTTTTTATTTAAAAATAAATCAAATAGTTTTAGAGATTGGAACAAAAACCATAATACTCATTTTAACATGTTCCCTATGAACAATTTATCCAATCTTTTAAACATAAAATTACGTTAAATTCTTCAACTAAGTTTACATTTATTTTTTTAAAAAGACTCTGTACTTCATTAGGTCCAGTCCTTATTTTTTCTAGTCATGCAAGAGCTCTACATGGAAACTTTCACTAATAATCTAGTCATTCTCATGAATATGTTGACAATACATTTTCCTTCTCAGCTATTCAGTTAATTTTTTGTTTACATTCATGTCTCATGAATTTTACCCCGCACATACAAAAAAACTCATTCTTTTTTTGGAAACGAAAGATAAACAAAAATATTCTAAATGAGAAGCAATGTAATAAAAAATTTTTTTGGCTGTGAATATATATAAATAAATTTTCTTAAACTTTTTTATATTTAAGAGAAATTTTCAGGAGTTCATTTAGACAATGAATAATAAAAAAAATTTATATTTTTAGTATGATACTGCAAAAAAGAAGCAAAAGAAGAAAAGCACATAAAATAAAAAATATATAAAATAATGCATATGGAAAATAATTAAGACTATTTTATTACGGAGAATTTTTAAACCAACAATGTTTATATGCTGCTTCATACGGCAAAAAATACTACATTTACTACAATTAATTATTATATATATAGCTTTATTAAAAAATATTAATTTTTCGCAAGCCAATAGATCAATAGGCTAGAAAATATAAATATAGCTTAGAGTAATGTAATATAGCTTAGTAATATAGCTTAGAGTAGTAGCAAATATAAAAGTTTTAATTAAATAAAATAAAATTACTATAAAAAATTAATACAATTATGAAAGAACAAGATTAAAAAAAGATACTAAAACTAATAGTAGAAATATTGATATAATTGACAAAATATACACAATAGATCAACTTTCTCACCAAAATAATATGTAGTTTACAAAAACTATAATTTTTTAGGAAGAATATAAATGGAATATTAACGTTTCATATTTACTACAAATTTCAATGAGACTTTTCAGTTCTATAAGAGCACACTTTTCTTTTTGAAAAATAAAAAACACAATATTCATCCACACTGTTCATTATAACAACAATTCATAATAGCAAGAGGAATTATAATCATCTTGTCGTTATAAACAAATACATAACATATAATGTAAAAATAGCAATAAAAAAAAACTAGCTACTTTAAAAGAGCAAAGTTAGTGAAAGGATAACTGATTGTGAATGAACAAGGAACACTGCATGGCTTAAAAGATGTATTACAGATGGGTAGTTGACTGCTTGATTGTTTCTATCTCAGCTTCTTATACTAATTATACATGAGCTTCCAAACAAATTCTCACAATAGAAACCTGCTCCAAATAAAGAATCTTCATGAAAACAGCCATTAGTATAATTATGGAGCCAAAAATCTTTTATGAATCTATTTGCAATGACTTCAAGTGCATAGGCATGAAAAAGAGGAAGGATAGTAATCTTTTTTCTTGGTTTGAGCATTAAGTGAGAGATTTATAGTTTGAATTCTAAAAGTCAGGGGGGGTCCTCTTTTGAACGCAACTGTTGGTAAGACATAATGTCTTGCGCATTATGGAAGAAAGACTTCTGTCCCTTTAGTTTTCTTTAAGTCGGAACAAATCTCTGTCAGTGCAGCAAAGGCAGTCTCCTACATTTTTCAAATGTTTTGATAGTTGTCTCTTCAGAAATATCCTCAGACCCTCAAAGCCAGTTTGAATTCCTAAGGCAGTGATACTTGTGGAGCAGGCTACAGAGGTAATAAATCTCAGTGCTTTATTTTATGGACCTTGACAGCTTAGTCGGAATGACTAGCAGGAGCCGCGGCCAGTAATTTTTTACCATAGTTTAGAACAGGTCTCACATAGAATTCATAAACAATGGTCAGAACATCAGGTGAGGATCCCTAAGTAATACCAGAGTCTTGAGACCAAGCCTATAATCTTCTCTTTTTGCACTCTTTTACGTGTCTCCTCCATGATAATTTATTATCAATCAACACTGGGACATCTCTTTTCTTTTAAAGTGAGCAATTGGATACTAAAAAAAATTGCAGGAGGTATTTTATGTAAGAAGGAAGATAACATGGCCATTGGTTGCCCACATAAAAAAGTTAAATGACCTTTGTTAGTACCTTTTTTTTGGATTGATACCATGAATAAAAAAAGTGTTTCATTCTCGCTTTTTTTCATAAAATATGATTCACTTTAGCAGTAAAAAAATTATTTCTCTCAAATAAAAAATTTTTTTGCGATAGCAGGATAGTTGTAATTTTCGGCTCTTTCTTTTAAAAAAGGCAGCAGGATACCAAAAAAATCAGAAATTTTCTTTTGTAAGAAAGATGTTAAAAGGGTCATTGCTTGTTTACATATAAACATAAAGCTAAAAAGTTGTTTATTTTTTTCTTTTTATACATAGATACCATAAATAAATAAAAATGTATTTCATTTTGTCTTTCTTTTATGGCTCTCATAAAAGAGTAAAAAAAAATATTGCAACAGCAGATCTTTAATTATACAATATTTTTTATAACTTTAATATCTACATTTTGATCTTGAATTACAAACTTGTCATAATAACGGACTTGTCATAATTGAGCTTTACTGCCAAGCAGCATGAAAATACCACTCATCATTTGAGTTCATACACAGAAGAATGTAGGTCATTAAGAATAATATTTATATTTATGTACAATGTAATTAAGCGGCCCACAGCAAGAGCAAGGTAAGCCTAAATGCTAATTCTTTTTCCTTTTCAGTCACTTTTGACAGTGAATAGCTAGGCTGTTATGATTAGAGCAAGAATTTTGCATAAATATTCAATAAATTTTTTCTGAGAAATAAACAGGGCTGTGTTAAAAATTAGGTACAATAGTTAAAATGCAGTTTTTGAGGTTTAAGATGCTATAGGTAGACTGTCCATGTGGGATATAGATATCTAGCTCTCTTCTTATAATGGTTTTGCAGAATTTCAATATTTTGTTCAAATATACAGGGTGTTTATAAAGTTCCAGATAAATTATGATGCTTAATAACTCATAAAATAATAAAGATAGATTGAAATTAATAATATAAATGGTTAGATAGACTCAAAAAGCTTCATGACCCTTGTCAATGAACTTCCACATGTGCCCCATTCGTCGCACGGAGAATATCAAATCGATAGTCAATTTCACGCCAGGTAGCGGCAAGCATGTCGGCATCCACAGAGGCTATTGCGGTTGTAATTCTGGCTTTTAGGTCATCAATGTTTGACACGATCCTCCTGTAAACATTGTCCTTTATAAATCCCCAAAGAAAAAAAGGCCAGCGGTGTTATATCAGGTGATCTGGGTGGCCAAGGAATTGGACCTTCTCGCTCAATCCAACTTCCTGTCTCATCAGTCGTATACTTAGACATGTTGGAAAACTTCGTATTTCCACAACTAGAAGAGCTTAAGCCACCTGTCTTTTTGCAACAAGATGGTGCACCACCTCATTAGGGTATCATCATTCGTAGTTCTTTGAATGACCATTTTCCTGAAAGATGGATGGAAGATTCATTGACAAGGGTCATGAAACTTTTTGAGTCTATCTAAACATTTATGTTATTAATTTTAATCTATCTTTATTATTTTATGAGCTATTAAACATCGAAATGGGTCCGGGACTTTATAAACACCTTGTATTTTTAAAAAATTCTTTCTTCAACTATTATGTTACAATATAAAATGTAATTTAAGTAAGTTATTCTTAACACAAATCATGCATAAAAAAAGAAATTAATATAATTTATAGTTGACATTAACTTACTAATAGTAATAATATTAATACTTTCCTAAGAGCAAGTTAAAAAATTTTTTTAAATCAAATATCGAATAAGCTCATATACTTTATTGAATATAAGCTCATAGAAAATTCGGTCATAGACGAACATTTCAATTACCAACAACTCAACACAGAGAGGGGCGAAAACTATGTTTACCTATTGTCTTTTTATAAACTACATAACTCTCCCCAACGATTTAAAAATAGAGGCTTATCTTGTTCTGGTGTTAAGCTCCTTAATAGTTCAGAGATTTATATAAATATTTAATTTAAGAGTAATCACAAATAAAAATCAATAACAGAATAAATAGATAGGAAAAAAAATATACATAAAAAGTTTCAAAATAATGACTTCATCTGCTTGAAGGAGTCGAATTCAAAATGCATTAAGAATAATTCAAAATTATACAGTTGTATAATAGCTTTTCATCTATCCTTCAAATAAAGAATATTAATTGTATCCTAGTCTCCTAAAACAAAAACAAAAAAAAATGACATCAATTTCTGTTGGAACAAAAATAAAAAACACAATTTCAATAAAAAGAATAATTGGATAAACTTATGATAAATAATGATAAGTTTAAAGAACATATTATATATAAATATTTATAATAGACAATGGCAGTTCAAACAGAAATTTCTTTTGAAAAATGAGCAAGTTAATGTATAAAAAAAAAATTGTATGGTTATGCTTGTGTCAACTATCTTAGAATGAAATGCGTGTTGCAGTAAACAGTTGTAATAATAGCTCTTAAGCAGTTAATTAAGAAAAGAAAAATTTCGTTTCTGTAAATTTTTATTTTATGAAATTTTCTATGAAATACAACTGAATAGAACATTGATTAGCCAGACATCTTTCAAAGAATCTGATAGTTTTCTTTTTTTCCCATCAAATAATTTATTATAGGTGTAGTTTATTCGACTACTATTGCTTCCATTTCTGAAAATACTTATTGGATCATTAACACTTATTTCAATTATTAGTACTATTGATAAAAGTGGATAATAAGAATGATGAACCTAATAATTATTCATTATTATGGATGATTTTAATAGCCAAAGGTAGATTATTCAAGGCATAAAAATAGATTATTCAAGTTTCTATGCATAAATTAATAATTATATAGTTCATAACAGGGTTGGTTTCCATATGCCTGATAATAAATCCAATGCTAGATAATAAATCCAATTTTGCTTTCTATCAGTAACTAAGTACTAAGGTAGTTTTAGTTGTTCTCCTCATAATAAAAAATAATGATCTTCTTTTACTACACACTTAAATAGAGAAATGTTTTTCAACATTTTTCAATGAACCACTAAAATAAACTAAAATTAACAAACATAACTGTTGTTAATTTAACCATGTTTCAAAAATTTAGGTTTTGAAACAAAAATAATTTACTAGAAACATGTTGGATTTTTATTACTACTACTGCTATTGTGAATTAGAAAAATTCTGTAGAACTTTTCTAAATTAAATAATCAATTAAAAAATTATGAAAGAGAGAAAATATTTTTAAGATAGTGAGAAAAAAATTGATAAGTACCTTCTCATGCTCTGCACTCTTCTCAGGTTGAAATGGTCGTACATCATGACTTTTAGAAAGAAAATATAAATACAAACTTTTTCTTCTTAAATGTGTAACTTTGACCAGAAGTAAGTTGAACATTAAACATTAATTGAATAAGAAAAAAAAAATATTTCTAAGCTTTAGAAGTAAGCTGGATTTCTATTGACCTGTAATAGTTCCTTGTTATATCGCACATTCTGATAAATTATTCTATATTAAGGTGTAAAAAGGAACCACCTTGAATAACTTTTTATCCAATGATTGGATGCTTACCTTCTACGACTCGATCTGAATGGTTGGGGGACCTCAAGTATGCTAATTAATTAGAACAGACGATGTTTTAACTAGCGAAATCAGACACAAAAGCATACTTTCTCTGAATAAACATACCTTTTTCTCAACAGATTTGGATTTCAGATTCCCACAATAGGGGGTAGCCGCGATCTGGAAAATATGGTCCCCATAGTTTGGTTAGGAGAGCATTAATGTTAATATTTTTTTATTATTTCGCCCTATCTAGAGAACTTTTTAAGTGAATTAAAAAATTATTTTATTTAAAAATGGTCGAAATTTTTTCTAAGGATTATAAATTTTTACATCATTTTAAGGTATGTAAAAAATGTTTAGCTTACAATTCAAAATTTTTTCTACCATTATTAAATAAATTAAAAAATATTTACTATAATACATTTTTTACACAAAATTATCTTTGGACAAATGAATTTTATAATTATGCGCAAAAATTTTTCCATTTGCTTAAAAAGTTTTTTTAAAGCGAATTAACATTAAGGGGTCCAAACTTTGAATCCCTCTCAACCAAACTAGGCGGACCATATTTCCCAGATTGAGGCTACCTCCTACATTTTGAAAGTCAGACATCTTAATCCTTTTTATTTTACATTTTATAACCGTCGTTGAACAGCTAACCCAATATTGGTTTTACACTACTAAAGTTCAACTCCGTAGCCTTGTAATTTTGAACTAATCCAGAAGACAAGGAACTCCTAGATCAGTAATCCCAGAGGTATGATTTGTTACGTGAACATACAGTGACTTGACAGATTCAAGGTGCATCAGTCACTATTAACAACACGAGAAGTCTTCGGGTGGCGGGGATCGAAACCACAACCTTTTGGACATGGACCAAGTGCCGTACAAACTAGGCTATCCTGGCTTATCTGAATCCTTTGAAGAAAAAAATGCATGTTTACTCAGAGAAAGTTCGTTTTTGTGTATGATTTTGCAACTTAAAATATCTGCGCCAATTAATTATCATATTTGAAGTTACCCCCCTGAAATATTAAGATTGAGTCTTAGAATGTAAAGATCCAATCATTAGATCAAAAGTTATTCAGGGTGTACGGTAGATTAAAAAGTAAACATAACATATTAAGCGGTCAATAAATGATTTATTTAATCACAAGATACACAATAATGATAAATATTTATTGAAATTCAGTACTTACAAAGGCAGAATGAACATTTATTCTTTCATCGACTTGTTAAACAAACAATAATAGAAATTATTTAAGATTTACCTCAAATACATCAATAATCAATATACATATATATAAGTTTAAGAAGTAAGCTGGACTTTTATTGAGCAGTAATAGTCTCTTTATATATAGTACATTTGGATAAATTAGGTACTCCATTTTCAAGTACATTAAAAAGCACACATAACATATTAAGTTGACAATAAAAGTTTTTTTCTTTTAAATCACATGATATACGATAATGATGATTGTTATTGAAATTCAGAACTTATAAAAATAGAATGCATATCTTATTCTTTTACTTACTTGGCAAACAGAAAATAATAGATAATATTTAAAAACAACCTCAAATATATCAGGTATCAATATTTAAGATACTAATACTATATATTAAGAAGTGAGCTGGATTTTTACTGAGATGTAATAGTTCCTCGTTATATCGTACATTCAGAAAAATCAGCCTCTTTTTCAGGTGCCAGACAAATAATAATAATAAAAAAATATGTAATCAAAACTAGTCTTTTAAGGAATGGTAAAAGGGAGAGCAATTAATTATTTTAGACTAATTTTTCTTCTGAAAAGAATGCAGAAATATGAAACGGAACAATAAATTTAACTATTTATTTCTAATTTTATTAACAATTAACATGCATTAGTATAGTTTTTATCATTATTAGTATAGCCTTAAATGTACTATTTGTTTCAAGAGTTACTGTCGACTATTAAGATCTGTCTATTCCTTTAAATTAAAGAAATATAATAATTAAAGTTCGTTTCATTTTTGTTAAACTCCCCCCTTCACCAAATAAAATTCACATGCTCGCATAATTAATAATAGCAAATAAGTACCCAGTTTGATTTTAACAAAGTAGTAAATTTGTTTTATTGTCCATCAAAGAATGACTAGCATAGATTGTTTTTTAAATGTTAGCATACGTTGTACTGAACATTTTAATAACAAATTTACTACAATATCATACAAACATGTAAGAAACAAAACTTTAGTAATAGTATCAGTTTATACCTATATATTATCTAGGTTTTTGATTTTATGATTTTAAATATCAAAATACTTGAAATTATATAAAAAGGTTGCTCGAGACAGCCAACTGTATAATAATTTTAAATAATATTTTAAATTTATGTAACGCATAAGTAAAATAAGCATTACTTTAAGTTAAACTTACTATAAAGGCAATATGCTTAAAATTATCAATAAATATGAAATTCCCATTACCTTTCTTGGATAAAGTCTCTTTCAATGGTTGAGTGTTTGATTGCTTTCTTGGTGATTCATACAAAACTTCCACATCAGATCCTGTAAAAAAATATGTAAAACTCTGAATATGTGGCCAAGTGATTAGTTTTTTACACACAAACAACACACCTGGTGAAATTTAAGAATCCCTTGAAGCAAAGTCAATAAAGGAGTTCAAATGATAATCTAAATTACAAAATTTCTTGGGGAAAATGAGATTTTGAATTTTGACTTCTACATTGTGGGAGATAATCATATTCTAGAAAATATGGTTCAGCTACTTAGTTTAATCAGCAAACTGGTCAAAATGAGTTGTATAGTTTTTGATATTACAAATTTTAAAAAAAACATTTCTTTAAAGTGTTTATACTTTCTTAAAAACTATTCAATCAGTCAAAATATATTCAGCTCAAAAACTATTCAGTTTTACATTAAAAAATTGCATTGTGCAAGATGCTGAAAAAATAAAACTTTTTTTTTAACTGTTATTAATAGATAATTATTCAAAATTAATTTTTACAGAAAATTATCTTTTGGTAAAACTGTTAAAGAATTTGGCACAAAAATATTTTGATTTGATCAATTAGTTTCAGAGATATATTTCAAGGATATGACAAAAAGCATTAGTAGCAGTAAAAGGGTCAAAATTTTGATTTGTCTGCTAACTAAATTGCTGGGTTTAATTTGAGAGATCAAAAGCCAACAAAGATCATGTTTATTCAGAGAATGTATATTTTTGTGTCTGTTTTAGACGTTTAAACTATTAGCTGAATCATTATCATCAAATCATTAAGATTTCAATACAATATTTCAAAATTTAAATTATGAATAAAAATAGATTTGTCCTTCAACCAACAAAAAAAGTTTTCGTTTTTTTGTTTTTTTCAACCATTAAGGAAACATACTTTCTTTACATAAACATGTCTTTCTTTTAATGGATTTGAAATTTTGATGCTCAACATAAAGGAGGAATATGGTCCCAAACGTCAGTCAAGAGAACAGTCGAAAATTCAGACCCCTGAATGTTAATTTCACTTTTTGTCTATTTTAAAAGCTCAAATAGGTTGCATTTTTAAATTTTTACTTCTCAAGAACTATTTGATGGATTCTTTTTACATTTTGAATTTTATGATTTAAAGTTACATAGATTAAAATGACATACAAATTTTTATACTTTACATTTTAAAATTTTTCCAACTATTAGTAAATTAAATAATAAAGATAATAAATACTATTAATGAACAAATTTTTTGATTTTGTGATTTGTTCAAAGCGTTCTAGAAATAAAGCAAAAGATGCACTCAAAAACAATTAACAATAAAAGATCCAAACTTTTAATTTATGTCCTGAAGAAATGTATGCTACAACATTCAAACTTTTGATTTTCTGATTCCGCTGTGATTCCCCAGATTTTGATTGTTAAGAATTCTAATCCATCTAATAGAAAAAGGTCTGTTTATACAGAGTACAATGAATCTAATTTCATAGCTTAAAATAGCGGCGTCCAAACCATTACTTTTGACAAAATATAAAATTTTTTGACAAAGACTAATTAGTATATAGCTATTTCTAATAAAATTTTTTAGTCATATAATTTTAGCTCATTACTGCTTACACAAAAAAATATTAAAAAAAACAACATTTAAAAAAATCAAGATCATAGATGAGTTAAAATATAATGCAATAAAAAAATTAAATAATGAAATTTCAAATTACCTTTATCACTTTGGATGGCAAGTTTATTTTCAACAATAGGTTTTTCATTTTCTGGAGTTTTATGAGAGCGTAAAATATGTGGTTGTTTTATAGCAGCATCATTATCTGCATTCAATGAAATAAAAAGAAAGACACATAAAACATTTAAACAAAATGTAATAAAGAATAGAAAGTGATGTAAGACAACAAACATCAACAAGTCAAGTCTTATGGCCTGAAAGTTATAAATAAAATAAATAACAAGTGTGCATATTGCTGTTGATATACATGTCTACTTTTGTAAATTAAATTATCATCTGCTCAATTGATTTGCATAATTTAAGAACACTGCTCATGATTTCAGGATAATATGAAGAATCATCATAGTATGTGAAATAAGGCATTTTGGACAAAAGTTAATCTAAGTAATATGTTTTTTATTTTGTCCACTGCACATAAAAAAGTGCAGGGTTTATAAAGAAGGAACAAAGAAAAATCCTATTTGTCCTAAACCTTGGACATGTCAGATACTAAATTTAAAATTACTTCTAATTTGTAAGTATTTTTTTCCAATAAAAAATGTCATTACAAATTTTAATATGAAAATATAATTAATTTTACTGTATCTTAAAAAATTACAATAAAACTTCATACATTTACAGTGGAGCATCGTTTATACGACGATCACTTATACGACGTTTACATTTATACAACGTTTTAGCGTGGTCCCAAATCATTCCTATTCATTTTAATGTAAAAATATATCGTTTATACGACGCACAGAATCGGTTATACGTCGGTTTTTAGATTTTGTTCACGTTTATTTAATTTTTTATTTTTTCTTGTGTATTTTAAAAAAGGGTGGAATTTGCCAACATGAATGATACAGAAAAGGGTGACAACAAGAATTCTTGGATGACGACCGTAATTTTTACTAGATGACTGAAAAAACTAGACAATATTATGAAGAGGCAAAAACGAAAAACTTTGCTATTCATCGACTAATGTCCAGCGCACCCATCGATACTAATTATTTGGAAAATGTAAAAGCTCTCTTTTTTCCTGCAAATTGCGCAAGTGCGCTTCAGCTATTAGATTTGGCCGTGATTAGAAATCTAAAATTGCATCATAGAAAGCAGTAAGTTCAACTCGCTATTCAAAGCATTGCAGAGACTAATAGCAAGAAAATATAATTAAAGGTCACATACATTCAAACTGCTCACTGCAATTTTTCTTCTCTGGTTATTTGTTTGTTTTGCTTTGTCTAATTTAGAAATTTATGTAAATCAACACGTTAAACATTAAAATTAACTGAAAACAGAGTTAGTTTCAGTTTTAGAAGTAAAAATCGATTATACGACGTTATCGTTTATATGACGTTTTTCGGTGGTCCCTTCGGCGTCGTATAAACGATGCTCCACTGTATTTAATAAGTTAATAAGGATAGCATGCACTGCATTAAGTCTAATTTTCATTGTAATACTACTTGAAGATAACAATAATGAAATGTATATTACCTTTTTTAGGTGATTCAAAACCAACTACTAAATCTGACCCTGAAAAAAATATATGATAACAGTATTTTATTTTCCTAATTAAAAGTGAAATTTCTTAGTCATGTAATTTTAGCTCATTACTGCTTATGCAAAAAAAAAAAAAAAAAAAACATTTTTAAAAATCTAGATCACAGATGAGTTAAAAAAATAATGCAGTGAAAAAATTGAATAATGAAATTTCAAATTACCTTTATCACTTTGAATGGTAAGTTTACTTTCAACAATAGGTTTTTCATTTTCTGGAGTTTTATGAGAGCGTAAAATATGTGGTTGTTTTATAGCAGCATCATTATCTGCATTCAAAGAAAGAAAAAGAAAGGCACATAAAACATTTAAACAAAATATAATAAAGAATAGAAAGTGACGTAAGACAACAAACATCAACAAGCCAAGTATTATGGCTTGAAAGTTATAAATAAAATAAATAACAAGTTCGCATATTGCTGTTGATATACATGTCTACGTTTGAAAATTAAATTATCATCAGCTCAATTGATTTGCTTAATTTAAGAAAACTGCTCATGATTTCAGGATAATATGAGGAATCATCATAGTATGAGGAATCATCATAGTATGTGAAATAAGGCATTTTAGATAAAAGTTATTCTAAGTTATTCATTCATGCACATAAGAAAGTGCAGGATTTATAAAGAAAAAACAAAGAAAAATCCTATTTGTCCTAAATCTTGGTCATGATAGATATTAAATTTAAAATTACTTCTAATTTGTAAAAATTTTTTTGAGTAAAAAATGTCATTATAAATTTTAATAAGCAAGAGAGAACAGAAATATTAAATCAAAACAGAATTATATTCTATGTGGGAAAAAAAAGAATTTTTAAATAAAAATAAACCCATGCTAGAAAATATGATCATTAATTTTGTTATATCTTATTAAATTGCAATAAAACTTCACACTTACATTTACTTAACAAGATAATAAGGGTAACATGCACTGCTTTAAATCTAATTTTCGTTGTATTATTGCTTGAAGATAGCAATAATGAAATGTCTATTACCTTTTTTAGGAGAAGTATTTCTTGATTTCCTTGGTGATTCAAAGACAACTACTAAATCTGACCCTGAAAAAACATCGTCATATATGCACTTATACGCACTTGACTCTAAATTTAAAACAAGAGTTAAACTACGTATAATTTATTTATCCTTAAATAACTTTTATTTCCATGCAATATTTTTTTAAAATATTTTTGCTTTTGTCAAGCCCTTTTGAACTAAATTTTAATACTCAAATCTATCTTCCATTAAAAAAATATATTGTAGGCATAAAGTACACAATAGCGTATAAAATTATAATAAGCTACATTATGTATATAAATATTTTTCTTGCTGTTATTTTAATTGAGAAGTACATTTATCAAACTTTAAAAAATAAATAAATAAAAACTTCAGGACTATAACTGGAATTATAAATTACATTGAATAACATTACTATTTGAAAGAAACTGCATAGACTTCAATAGTTTTAAAGCTTCTGTTAAAGATTAAATTATTTTAATTTTTATAAATAACTATTGAATAAAAAGTTTTAAAGAATTTTTTTAAATTTCTTCCTATTAAAAGTAACCAATTTGCTTAAGGTTTAGAAATATTACCTTAAGTATTTTGTCTATAGATTTCCAATAGAAATGAAGCAAGTAATTAAAAATGCAAAAAAACTCTTAATTTGTTAATTCAATCCGTCAATAATATAGATTAATAACAGTGAGTTTTTATCAAAAATGTAATTTGATTAACCTCTGCTGAACGCTTGTAGAATAATCATGCAACTATCAGAACATCAATTTGTTTCATGAACAAAAAGATCAGAATAACATTAAAATGTTAAGTTTCATGTAAGATGGTTATCATGCACAAGATTACCATCTTAAAATCAAGATAGCAATGAGGTATTAATGTTTGAGTTACCACTATTGCTTGAAGAGTCAATTGACATGGATTCTTCATTTTCATTTCTGGCAGGTTGAGGAAGACTAATTGACTGACCTTCAGTTACCTTACCTTCATCATCTATTAAAAATGAAAATTACAAAATGAAATAAAAAATTAAAGTGTTAATAATAAAAAAATAATTTTTAAATAAAATTTATTTTACTGAAGAAAATATAAAAATTATTTAAGCGTCGAATAGGTAATTATCAGAAATATAGAACGAAAGTTAACTAGACAAGCTCGCTAAATCATTAAATTATGACAATAACAGTAATTTTTTAATCTATTTGAATGCAACTTTTGACAATAAGAATTGGGAATCATAAAATTAATATGAAATTAAGATATTTCAGATAAATTAAACTATTGGTTGGAAGGCACATAAATAATATATTTCTAATATAGGGAAGCGTCCTTAGTGGTATACAATGCAGGGGTCTGTCCAGGTTTAATGGTACCCTCACAAATTCAACTTAAGGAAAAACGGCAGTTTCACAAAATACTTTTTCTTAAAATTTTATTTTTGTATCCCGTAAGAAACGAAAACGATATTTTTGTGTTGATTTCTTGATATAATTTTTAATTTTCACAAATTATGCCAACATTTTCACAAAATAGGTACCTTTCAGAAAAACCTAGACAGACCACTGCAATGACATTTCCAGTCGTGGGTTGCTACGCAATTCTTAATCTTTATAATGTGCTCTATCTCTGATAGAAGTTTGTCAAAACAGTCCCAGTACATTTTACATATTGAGTTTGATTCCATTTAAATTAACAGAAAATGTAAATATTAGTCTCCTATGGTCAACAGCTTGGCCACTTTAGATGTTTCACAAAATAAGCATTTCATACTCTTCAAGACAGAAGAAAATTAGGTTTAGATCAAAATGCTATTTTATCATATCAAATTTAGTTAAATGTAAATTAGCTTTTAGTAGGAACTGAAAATGTTTGAGGGGCTTCAGGGAGTATAATGATAATCCACACATTCAAGTCTGGGCAGTTTAGTTTTCATATTAAAATTATTTTCACAATTTCGAAGTAGGAGATTAGATGTTTCTACTTAAACTTAAAAAGTACCTGTTTAGAAACAGTATTAAACTGCTTGATATAAAAACCTTAAATTTAGCTAAAATGTCACCCATATTGCTCCAAGCAATTCATTTTATAAATATATTGCCACNTACAATGTTTTAAAAAGGAAAATATAACACTGAGTAAGAAAATAAACTTAATATCAAAATAGATGACAAAGCATACTTGTATCTTACCTTCATCAAAATGTTGAGCATAAAATGATAAATCTGCAGCATCATCTTTTGTTTCTGTTATAGTCACAAGTTTGAAATTAACAATTCTATCTGATTTGTCTTCTTTCAACTCAGGTTGAACAGGTTCAAATTTTTCCCAACGCTAAAAATATACAAAATACTGTATATATTTCAAAGAATTTACATTTAGAAACCATCACTAATAAACCATAAAACCTTATTAAATATATACTCAATATTCGTATTATTATTTATCTTAAACGTTTGAAGCGGCAATGAGTTTAATGTTACTTGCTATTCTCTAGGAAAGTAAATATGAAAGAAATTTAATACTACGCATGTGTAAGTCAAGTTCCTTTAAGTTAACATTTAAATATTAATTGCCCCATTTCAATATTTCTTCATAGTCACCAAAATATTTTTTAAAAAAGAATTTTAATTTTCTCAACTTCTACTAAAAACAGTTGAAACTTTAGATTTTACAATAGAAAAATATGTAGAGTTATAATTGTTATGCAAACAATATATTATATAAAAATATAAAAAAATTGAATAAAAAATAATAAATAATTATTAAAATATATTGTTTGCATGAAATTACCTTAGAATAAATGGGTTTCATGAGTGGATGCAATTTTTTTTTTTAATTGCTGAATTAGATTTAAAGATATGACTAAAAACGCAAAAAGGTGAAATTAACATTAAGGGAACCAAACTTTCATTCGCTTCTCCTGCCTATACTATTAGAGCAACAACTTCCAGATTGCAGCTACCCCTTATAGTTTGAAAGTCATGAATTGAAATATGTAAATATATATATATATATATTGATTTTTAAGAATAAAATAAAAAAATATTTAAAATTACTTTTCTTGCTTTGAGGAACAGGTGGCATGCATTCTATTGCAGATTTTTCCTTTTCTAAGACTTTATGCGATCGAAGAATATGTGGTTGATTCTCAGTGACGTTATGATCTGTAAGTAAGGAAAAAAATTATAAACTTTTGGAAAATAAAAAAACTTATTTTTTATTATCCGTTTTCAGAGATTGCCCCTTAAATATATTTTGTGTTGGGGAGAGCTGAGGGATCAAAATTACTGTTGAGGAATCGAAATTACTGTTCGGAGATAATTTTCTTGACGCTTCCTGGTAAACAGCATTTGCAATATGTGGTATGCTCATCTGGTTGCCAAATTAAATAAATTGTTGGCTGAACTCACCCAGTTGAAGAGGTGCATCAGATATTTAATTTGTTGTCATTAATGAAATAAATTTTATTTAATGTCATTTATATGATACTGATATATGATTTAATGTCATTAATAAAACGAAATTCTAGACTGTTTGCAGATTTTTTATAACGTTGATTCATAATTTTCTGCTCATCTTGTTTTATAATTAGTTCCATTTAGAAGCAGGTATAGGCCTGTGATGGAAAGTCTTCTCTCAGATTAACAATTACTGTCAATTAAGCTAATTATCTCCTGATAACAATATTAATTATCAAATATAAAAATTATATATTTTATAGTATAACTTTATAATTTGGTAAGGAACAGTGTCCAAAATTGGAGATTTTTATCTTAACAGCAATGTGTCATTTAGAATTACAGTCTGTTAGGATAATTATCTTTTATAATTAAAGTATTTATCCCTAATTACCCTGATAATTAACTCAGCGGCACGACAGCCCATAGAGGGCCACGGCCTACTGTACAGAAGCAGATGTTCCAGTTAGGTGGTCAGCCGAACGTGAAACCCCCAGTGTTTAGTTCCCAAGCATGCTTGGTACTCATTTATCGGCCCACTGAAGGGATGAAAGGCTGAGTCAACCTTGCCCAGCCTGATAATTACGAACTATTAAAAGATAATTTTAGTTTTTTTTTTTTATATGATGAAAAGCACAGAGCCTTTGTTACCTTTCAATTGGAGTAGTTATCACTTATTCACCCTGATAATTATAAAATATCAAAATAAGTTGTTAGCTTTTCTATTTAGCATGTAAGGAACACATGGCCAAAATATGAGACTTCTATCTTACGAGTAATAACATGTTTTTTTTAGCATTACTGTCAAAAGGGGTATAATTATCTACTAATTACCCTATTAATTGCAAAATATCTAAACGAAACTTAATCCTTTATACTTATTTCATGAAGAGATACATGCTTAAAATTTTAGCTTTTTAACTTCATGGGATATAGGAGAATTTATTAGTGATAAGCCAGTGAGTTAGTCAGTGGCTGACTGAGGGTTTTATCTTTTATATGTATAAATAACATGACTATCAAATGAGAAGATAGCAATATTGAACTATAGTAAACTATTAGATAAATAACCCATGCAGCAGAGATAAGTATTAATGCGCTATTACTGCTGATGCAGCAAAATTACTGAGTTTAAAGGAGAATACATTAAACTCATTAATAACTGGAATTAATGGGGCTAGTTTGAATGTAAATAAATCGATCTCTGCCCTTGTTTCTAATAACAATAGAGACTTTACGAAAGAGATAAAAATGCTGATAGTGCCTAAAATTACTGAATTAACCCCTGCTAAACCGCTTGATGTTTCTAAAATTAATTTTCCTCACAATTTGACTTATGCAAATCCTAACTTTTTTAAGCCTCAACGTGCTCAAATCTTGCTTGGCGGAGATATTTTTTACGAACTGTTACGAACCGAGGAAATAAAATTGGAAAATAGTTTAGTCATTTTACAGAACTCTGTACTCGGCTGGATTGTAACGGGAAGATTGGGCACTAAGGATAATTGTAAGGAATACAAATGTCACTTATTATCACAAGATCACACTTTAACTGATTTGCAAAAATTTTGGGACCTTGAGTCTCTAGGAATAAAGGATGAACCCAAATGCTTAGAGGGGGATGAAGCACTATCCAAATTTAATGAAACAATTAGTTATAAAAATAAAAGATATGAAATCACTCTTCCTTGGAAAAGAGATTGGAGGGAATTGAACGATAATCTTACCGTCGCAACTAAGCGATTTAAAGGTCTTTTAAATCGTATGACTCGGAATTTTGTGAACCAGTTTCATCTAGGAGTAAGTTATCTTGTTTAAATGAATTCTTGGATGAAAATTCTCTAATTCGTGTTGGTGGCAGACTTAGAAACTCTGATTTATCGAATAATAGTAAATTTCCCATTGTACTGCCTAGCGAGCATAAATTAACTGATGTAATTTTGAAT